GTATTAAAGTCTGAAATTCATCTTGGAATACTTAAGAAACTAGCTAATGCAATTTTAGAACCATTAGCAATTATCTTTGGGGACGTATGGATAATAGGTAAGGGCCTGGAGGACTGGAAAAGGGCAAATATAGTGCCTCTCTTTAAAAAAGGAGAACTAAAAGGATCAAGGGAATTTTAGTCTGTCAGCCTAACCTTGACATCTGTAAAAATACCAAAACAAAGTATTAAGCAATCAGTACCGTAAGCACCTAGGGTATTAAAGGATCAAAAACAAATCATGCCAGACCAACCTAATTTCTGTATTTGACATGAGGGAAGCGAAGTAGTAGACATGATATTTCTTGATTTTAGTAAGGCTTCTGACCCAGTCCCATATGACATTCTCCTAAGCAAACTAGGGAAATGTAGACTAAATTAAATGACTATAAGGTGGGTGCACAACTGGTTGCAAGACTGTACACAGAGTATTTATCAATGGTTTTCTGTCAAACTGGAAAGGCATGTCTAACATGGTGCTACAGGGGTCAGTTCTGGATCAGGAACTCGTCAGTATTTTCATTAATGACTTGGACAAAGGATTGGAGAGTCAAGATATATCATGTCTACTGCTTATAACACTGAACCAGAAGGGCTTATAAGAACTTTGCAGGACAGGTTTAAAATCAGAGATTTGGTCTGAAATCAACCAATTCCATATAGACAAATGCAAAGTACTTTATTTGGGAAGGGAAAATCAAATACACAGCTGCAAAATGGGAAATAACTGGCTAGTAGTACTATTGAAAAGGATCTGGGGGTTCTAGTAGATCACAAATTGAATGAGCCAACAATGATGCAGTTTCAAGAAAGGTTAATATCATTCTGTGGTTGTAGTGGGGCACTATTTTGAAACCCAGGAGTGGGCAGGCATCACTTCTAAAAGACCCTCCCCCACACTTGTGGGAGGGACAGCTGGACCTGGGGATCAACTGATTCCTTGGGACAACTAATGAAAACCAGGGTCAAGGAGTGCAGGCTAAAGATTTATAACAAGGGAACCGGATGGGGACACCAAGCAGAGAACCCAGACAGCGCCCTCTACTCCTCAAAACAGTCGATGGAGCCAGTGGACGCCACCCAGAGGAACTCTGCCCGGATGCGTGAAACCAGGAAGGAATGAAATTATGTCCAACAGTCGCAGAGCACCCCCTCGTCCAGCATCTTCCTCCTGGTGGTGTAGACGGCGGCTTTCACCAGGGCCAGGAGGAGGTTAATGAGGAGGTCTCGTGATTTAGTGGGGCCATGGATATGGTGCGCATAAATAAAAAGGTGTGGAGAAAAGTGAAGCCAGAACCTCAGAAAGAGGGGCTGCAGCCTGGCGCATTCTAAATATGCATGCACCAGGTTTTCCCTCATGCCGCAAAGGAGGCAGGTGTCCTGGATGGGGGTGAACCACGCCAAGTACACGCCTGTGCTCAAGGCTCCATGAAGGAGTCGCCAACTGATGTCCCCGATGGGCCGTGGAATTAGGGTAGAATAGACACTGGCCCATCGGGGTTCCCTATCCTCCACAGTCTTAAGTAGTCCCACCACTTGGGGTCAGGGCGGGACACTAGGGTGGGGAAATGCAAAGTGTGGAGCATGAGCATGTATAGATGTTCTCTTGGCACAGTTCAGAAACAGACCAGCTGCAAATCTTGCAGCCGGCTGAGGGTCCAAGGGTGGGAGGGCTGGGGGAGTCCACAGAACAGGGGCCTGATAATGATGGATGGAGGTTTTGCAGGAAGGCAGGGGCGGGGTGTACTCTCTCGCAGGGACTGCTGCAGGAAATCGAGAGCGGGTTGCGGCAAAGCCGCCTTCACCTCCTGGAGTAGGAGCAGGGAGGTTCGGGGGGTGGAGAGCCCCATGCACTGAGTGAGCGCTCGGGGAGCCACCCAGTCCCCCCTGTCATAGTCCAGACCTCGGTGGTTTCTGCCAGGATCAGCCTCTGGCGCACTGAGGGAGACTCCGCCACCTGAACACACAAGGATGGATTGCGGAGCAGGGGCTCTGCGAGGAGATCTGCTCCCTCGGTGGCCACAATGGACCTGGTCACTGAGAACAGCTTCCAGGTCTGGAGGAATTCCTGATAGAATTCTGGCAGCTCAGAGAGGTCTCGCGGAAGGCCCTTTGGGTGGATAAAAAAGAGCTGCCAGTCATATCAGAGCCCTCGGAAGTGGAGGAGGAAGACACACGCCAAAGTTCTCCATGCTGGACTACCTGCACTAAAGAGGAGTCTCTGCAGGACCTGGAGGCAGAAGGTCCAGACCTGGCTGTGTACGCAGACAGAGGGAAGAGACAGAACTCCTGCAGAGACCCAGTGCAGTCCTGGCCAAAAGAACTCCAGAGCTGCCCTCTGGAACTTGGCCAGAACCTCCAGGGCCGGGCTCAGGGTATTGAGCCGGTGACAGAGCATGGACAGGACCAGATGATTTAACAAGCAGTCCTGTCCATCTCCACAGCCGCTCACCCACGCTGGCCTCCAAACCTTGCCAGTTCTCCAGCAGAGAAGGATGCGTGGCGGATAAATAAATGCTCAGATAGAGCAGCGGACCCGCATTCCACCTGATGGCCTGAAGGATGGGTGGGAGGGAGCCTGCCCGCCACCCGTCCCCGACCACCAGACCAGAGCTCTTGACCCAGGTTACCATGAGGAGCACATCATCGGCGTATGCCAACAGACCCAGCTGCAGCTCTGGATCTTGGAGCACCAACCCTGTTAACCTCCTGCGGTTGAGACAGAAGAAGGGCTCAATCGCCAGAGCATACAGCTGGCCCAACAGCAGAAACTCCTGATGTACTCCCCTCCTGAAACTGACTGACTCGGTCACAGTCCAGTTGAGCCTGACCAAACACTCCGCGAGGGCATACAGCACCCGGAGAAAACCCACAAAACGGGGCCCAAAGCCGAAGGTCTGCAGGGTGCCCAGGAGATACCCATGGGTGCCCAGGAGATACCTGTGGTCCATCTTGTCGAACGCCTTCTCCTGGTCCAGGGATAGGGGGGCGAACAACAGACTGTCCTTACACCCAAGCTCCAAGAAATCCCAGACCAAATGCAAGTTGTCAAAGATGCTATGGCCAGGGACGGTGTAGGTCTGGTCGGGATGGATCACGTCCACCAGCACGGACCTCAGTTGCAGCAAGATGGCTTTTGCTATGACTTTGTAGTCTGTGCTGAGGAGCGAGACGGGATGCCAATTCCAAAGGTCACAGAGGTCCCCCTTCTTCAACAATAAGGCGAGCACAGCTCACCTGCACAACAGAGGGAGGACCCTACTCTCCAAGGACTCGGTCCAGATGGTGATGAGGTCTGGGCCGAGGATGTCCCAGAACACACGGCAGAACTCCACTATCAGCCCGTCCATGCCCGGGGTTTTATTGTTGAGCATGAGACGGAGGGCTTCTGAGAACTCGGCCAGAGTGAGAGGCAGCTCCAGTCGGTCCTGGTCACCAACGCTGACTGTTGGGAGCTTGGTCCAGAGCACCTTGCAGGCATCAGCTTCGGTTGGATCCGGGGAGAACAAACAGGCGTAGAAGGCCCTGGCCCTTCCACGCATCTCCACTGGATCCGTGAGTGCTTTTTGGCCCCCCTCTTTTTCTCCTGGGCATAGAAGAAGCGGGAGCCACGATCAATCTCCCGAAGAAGCTGGATGCGAGATCAAACAAAAGCACCCCAGGCCCTGCGATCTTCCAGGGCCTGGAGCTCCTCCCGCTTCTCCCGGTATGCCTCGCGGAGGGGCGGATCCTCGTGGTAGGATACCAGGCACCTCCCAAGCTTCAAAATCTCCCGTTCCAGCTGCTCTATCGCCGCATCCCTCCGTCGGCTGGCACCCTGGGAGTAGTCACGGCAGAAGAGCCAGGCATGCACCTTCCCCATGTCCCACCAGTGCCGCACCGAGGGAAAGGAGGGCTACTGCCCACGCCAGGCCTGCCAGAACTCCCGGAAGGATGCCACGAAGCCCACGTCCTCCAGCAAGCTATTATTAATATCCCAATAGGCCGGCCCCAGCCTCTCCGCACTAAGAGAGGCTTTCACGGCCACCAAATGGTGGTCCGTGAATGGGGCCAGCTTGATGCTGGAGGAGTGGGCTCGCGCCAGATGGAACCGTGATAGATAAATGCGATCCAACCGGGAGTGGCTTGACCGATCACCCCCCATCCGGACAAAGGTGAAGGTGGTCTTGTCGTCCGGGTGGTAGTCTCGCCAGACGTCCACCAGGGAGTGCTGGTCCACGATCTCCCTGAGGATGCCTGCTGCGGCCTGGCAGTTCACGAGTCCTACACGGTCCCGGTCATCAAGGGTGGTGTTGAAATCCCTGCCCAGGACCAGACACTCGCGAGAATCCAGAGTGCCGAGGAAGGTGGCCACCTGCTGATAAAAGATGACCTGGTCTGGGCCTGTGTTCAGGGCATGGACATTGACCAAGTTGACCATCAGCCCCTCTATGCGGGCCCGGACGTGCAGCAGGAGGCCCGGGACAACCTCGGCGGTCCCCAGTACCTCGGGCTGTAGAGCAGGGGAGAACAGGATGACCACCCCAGCTGAGCAAGCGCCGAGGTGGCTAAAATGCACCCCATCCCCGCACTCCAGCCACCAGCCAACCTCAACGGCTGGAGTCGTGTGGGTCTCCTGCAGGAAAGCCACCGAGTACCCTCTCTCCTGAAGGAAGGAGAGCACCCGGCTCCTGCGGAGACCTGCCCTACAGCCCTGAACATTCAATGTTGCAATGGTGGTGTACTTCTTAGTGAGGGCTGGTGTGGATCCTCATGGGCAGGGTGATCGTTGGCCTCCCACAGGCCCCGCAACAGGCCGCTCCCCGACCCTGAAGGCGAGGAGAGCGTCATGGAACTTGCAGGCCCGCCGGTAGGCTGCAATGTCCTGCCTCTTGGTCCCTCCCCCCTCCTGCAAAAGGGCCCTTGTGGCCCCACAGGATGGAGTGAAAGTCGCCCCAGTGCTGAAGGGCCAGCTCCACCTTCCCCTTAGCCTTGTGTGTATCCATGAGGAATTGGTGGAGCTCGGCCCCCAGCACTGAGGGGGCGCTGGACGTTTCCTCTGTCTGGGCCCCCTGAAAGACCTCGCGGGCCACAGAGACGGGCAAACCGGGGTCTGAGCCCCAGTGCGGCTTCAAGAGCGACAGTGCCGCACTACGCACCCCTGACCTCGGCAAGGGGAGAAGCGGCGGAGGGAACAGAGCAGCCCCTATGGGACTGGGGACTGGGTATACAAATACCACCCCCTGAGAGCTGCCCACAGGTAGTGGGAACGAGACAGCTCCCACAAGGGGGGCAATAGTAGCGGGATATGAGGGCAATTGAGAAGGGGCAGGCATCACAACAGGGGCAGGAGTGGGGGGAGGGTGGGAGGGAGATAACGGGAGCAGATTCCATGGCAGGGGTGGGAAGAAGGGCAGGTAATTAAGTTCTGGAATAGTCTTCCAGGGTATGTCTACACTAGCTCGTTAATTCGAGCTAGGTAGGCAAATAAGGGAACCGGAGTTGCAAATGAAGCCCGGGATTTAAATATCCTGGGCTTTATAGTAGCGGGATATGAGGGCAATTGAGAAGGGGCAGGCAGCACAACAGGGGCAGGAGTGGGGGGAGGGTGGGAGGGAGATAACGGGAGCAGATTCCATGGCAGGGGTGGGAAGAAGGGCAGGTAATTAAGTTCTGGAATAGTCTTCCAGGGTATGTCTACACTAGCTCGTTAATTCGAGCTAGGTAGGCAAATAAGGGAACCGGAGTTGCAAATGAAGCCCGGGATTTAAATATCCTGGGCTTTATTTGCATGTTCCTGTCTGGCCGTCATTTTTAAATCCCCTTAGTTCGAATGAACTGCCCACGGCTACACACGGCAGTTTAAAGTTAATCCGAACTAAGTCCTTACATCCTGGGCTTCATTTACAACTCCGGTTGCATGATTTGCCTACCTAGATCGAATTAATGAGCTAGTGTAGGCATAACCCCAGAGAGGTTCTAGAACCTCCATCACTGGAGGTTTTTAAGAAAAGATGGGAATACCGGTCGGGGTAGTATACGTTTACTTGCTTCCGCTTCAGTGGAGAGGGCTGGACTTTTGATATCTCAAGTCTTCATTTAGCTGTACATTTCTATGAATCCAGGATTAAGAAAAGTTTGTACAGATTTTCTACAATGTTTACTTTGGATTTTTGGCCATATATTACATGGCTACTGCAGTATTTTTCATTTCAGGTTACTGATAGAAAGGTTTTTTACTTCCCTTCCAACTTCCCCAGAGTAGTTCTTCTGGGGAAGAGAGATGCTATTCCTGAAAGTGTCCATGGCAGCATTAATTAAGTGATGTTATAGCACTAGTTTTGAAGTAAAAAATGATCATAATGTAAAGAGGTGACATTTATAGAGTGGGCATGTCGGTGGTATCTAAGAGAAATAACAAATATTTTTTATAATTAAAATGTGTGTGATAACTATTAAAATAATAGCCTCTATTGGTCCATAATATAAAGCAATGTAACTCTTCTGTTTGGAGATGCCAAACTTTTCTGAATTGCTCTTTAACTACTATCTAACAGGAGAGGCAACTGAAATGCATGTTACATGCTCTGTTTGTGTATTGCTGTATGTGTACTATCATTAGAGTTCTGGAAATGCAGCAATATGTCAATTACTTATTCTTTTTTAGGTGGAAAAAAATCTACAAAACACAAATATGAACGTGTGATTATTTAAATTAAGAATATTTTATTGTATGTGTAAGGTAAACTCAGTGCCCCAATTTATATAAATAAAACATATGACGAAGCTGATCTGAAGTTCATGATTTTCAACAGAGAGCTAATAACTTATTACTAGAGAAATGGTGGAATGATAAAATGATTTTAAAAAGAGAGAGAAGGCAAAGCATAGAAATCCAGACACTACTCTTTTTAAAAAAAGCCTCTTTTGCCTTAGATAAACACTGATGCGGCTTTATATTTGCAACCTTTTTTACTGTTTCCTAGAATTCAACCTTCATTAGTTATTTAAAGCTACTAATGAGTGTTTAAGGATGATGACAGCACAGTGTAGCAGTCCTGTGATTTTTTTTGGTGGAGAAAGACAATACTCAGATTGTTCCAGTTATTAGCTGATTTTAAAAAAGAAAATGGTATTAGAACGAAATCATAGTGATTTACCATTGTTGTAGCCCCAGGTCATTTTGTGGTTGGAAAATGATATTTAACAATGGAAATTTAACCTGTTTTGCTATATCTAGGCTGCAGGCTTCTTTTGGAAGAAGTTTTTTCGAAAGATAGCATCCACACTGAATAGACACTCTCTTGCATTTAAGATGTGATTACTATGAAGGAAGTGGCCACCTGGGCACCTTTGCTTTTTCCTCTTTCCTCTTCTTTCGAAAGAACTCCCTCTTCCCCATCCACACACACCCTTTTCCGAAAAAGATCTTTTGGAAAAAAGCTTTTTCCTCGTAGAAAAAGGTTTACCAATGTCAAAAAAAACCCTTTTCTTTCCATTTTTTTCCCAAAAGAACACGATTGCAGTGTGGATGTAAGTGAAGTTTTTCAGAAAAATGGCTATCTTCATGTATTAGTTAAAAGACACTGACCCCCTGATATTAGAAGAATGCAAGAATAGTTGCTTTGTTTTGGAAAGGCTCTGTAGAGAACTTAAAAGAAGATTTATTGTGGTTAAGAGAAGGCTATGGGAAAATATTTGAGAATGAAATTAACGAATTAAAAGTTTCTTCTCTTTGGTTATAAGGAAAAAGAAATGTAAGAATGGATTTGAAACCAGGAACTAAGATCCTGAGATGGGCAGTGGCACAGACACATTTAAAAGATGTGGCATCCAAATAACCTTTCCAATCCAGCTGAGTTATTGATGCATTTAAGTTACACACAGGTACATAGCAATGGCCCAGCTTTAAATATTGAGTTTTTATTTCTGATAGTTCTAAAAAGTTCAATTAGAACAGAAACAGAGATAAATGTGCATCTAGAGTCTTAGGCTATGTCTAGACTGCAAGCCTCTTTCGAAAGAGAGCGTCTAGACTGCACGCGGAACTTTCGAAAAAGCGGCTTGCTTTTTCGAAAGAAAGCACCCAGTGAGTCTGGATGCTCTCTTTCGAAGAAGCCCTATTTACATTCAAGAACGCCTTCTTTCGAAAGAGGAACTTTCGAAAGAAGGCGTTCTTCCTCGTGCAATGAGGTTTACCGCCGTCGAAAGAAAAGCCGCGTTCTTTTGATTTAATTTCGAAAGAACTCGGCTGCAGTCTAGACGCAGGTGAAGTTTTTTCGAAAAAACCCCTGAGTCTGGACACAGCCTTACTGAAAATGCCCTAAGAGGCTGTTTAGCTGGAACCAGGCAATCAAATTTTTCTTTAGTTTTATGTTCTTTATAGATGCCACCGGTGACTGGCTCAGTTCTGCCTCATGCAATTGTTATTTCAACAGTTTCTAGCAATACCCTCCCTTTCATTATCCCAGCAGCAGGTAAGAGTGGGCCAGTGTACATGACCATCATCTATCAAACAAGTTCACTCAGGCTATGCCTAGGCTGCAGCGCTATAAATATTCCACATCTTTTGAGCGTGCCTGTTACTGTATTTCAAAATATAACAGGTTTGCTATTCTGACATGTAAACCTCATTCCATGGGGAGTAAGAAACATTTCAGAATAGCAATTTATTTTGAAATAAGTGCTGTGTAGACAGTGCCAAATTTTGAAATAAGCTATTTCTAGATTGACTCGAAAAAAGCTAAGCAATTTGTGTAGATCAAATTGCGTAACTTATTTCAAGCTATGGGTACAGTGTAGAGCACCATTAGACAACTTTAATTGTTTTAATTTCTAACACATTACACAAAAATGTCCTGTCCACTTACAGTTAATCCTGGCTCACCAATTCCAATAGGTCCTGGAGGCCCAATTCTTCCTTCCTGGCCTCTGTCACCCTAATGAGAAGGAATTTCAGAAATGTTACTTGTTGCTTTCTTGGAGTGAAACTTTCAAAAGCATCCAAGTGACCAAGACTAAGTGACTTTGAAAATGGAATTTAGCATGCTGGAGTCTAAGTTTCATTGAAAGTCAATGGAACGTAGGGTCCCAACTCTTTTAGGCACTTTTGAAAATGTTTACTCTTTACTCATCATTATTTTTAGAAGTTTACACATTTGCATAGGATGGAGGTAGCTGAACTGCTTTTCACCCAGCCTAATGTCTTATTATAATTTGACCTACAGCAGTGAAAATGAGAACTCTTCCTGTATCAATGTAGCAAGATCAGTTTCAAGCATGATGTTCACAATCCTGCATATTTATGTAAAGTGTGTATATATATATATATGTTAGCTGCTTTTCCACATACTATACACTGCCAGAGACAAAGGGAGTAAAACTTTGTTGGAGAAAAAATGGCTGATTTCTTTTATATTTCTTAATTGGGAGGTGGTGATTCCCTGCTATTTTCCCCATATAATGTCCCCCAGTGGCACTGCAATGAAACCATTAACGTCTTTTATTGAACAATTAATATGAAATATAAATCAGGAGCATAAAAAAGTCATCTTCATTTATCCTTAGGGCTAGATTGCAGCCCATCCTACGTGCCAATGGCAACACAATAAGGGGATAACAGGCATCTTGTTATACTCTTTGCATCAGTTCATTATACTATAAGAGCCAGTATATAGGAGTATCAGTCTCCACAGAGGCAGTGCATACCCCAGTCTATATAAGGCAGTAGTGAGTTGGCATGGCTCCTCCAGAACATTGGGGAGCATGTGCCATACTGGTTTGTAGTTCATCCACATAGCATCATAGCGTCTGGGAAAAAGATTGTGACTCCCTACGCTACAATTGCCCTCCTGAGCTGCTCTAAAGACAACACAACAGTGCTATGCTCCTTCATCTGGGCAGATTATAAAAAGGTTGTGTAGCCACCACACAGTACTCACTGAATGCATTCCAACATCTCACACTGCTCCACATGAAAAATTCCCATGAGCTATTGGCTCCAGCTCCCCTTTGGAATGGATGCAGGGAAAAGAGCAACAAAACCTTATAGGCATGTTGTTTTAGGCATTGACTCTTTGCCCATAAGGTATAGAAGACACATGGCTAAAGCAATTTTTGAAGAATTAGCACCAGAAGTAATCAAACAAGATGCAGGAATGACTAGGTGCATGAAAGAGAAAATAGCAGGGAATCACCACCTCCCAATAAAGAAATATAAAAGAAATCAGTTTACTCCCTTTGTCTCTGGCAGTGTACAGTATGTGGAAAAGCAGCTAACATATACATATATATATACACTTTACATAAATATGCATAATTTACATAAATATGCAGGATTGTGTACATCATGCTTGAAACTGATCTTGCTACATTGATACAGGAAGAGTTACTTCTCATTTTCACTGCTGTAGGTCAAATTATAATAAGACATTAGGCTGGGTGAAAAGCAGTTCAGCTACCTCCATCCTATGCAAATTTGTAAACTTCTAAAAATAATATACTCTTTCATTTCAAAGGATAATTACCCATTTGTTAAACTCAGGTTACCTTTCATTAAAATATACTGCATCATCATAGGAAATGTAGTATTGATGATTACCTTAGGTCCTGGAAGTCCAACACCAGGAGGTCCTGTGGGACCATAAGGGCCACTAGGACCTGGCTCTCCCTAAAGAAACAAAAGTAGTTAAAAGACAGCAAAGTGCCTATATTCTGGCAATATTCCCCACAGTGTGTATCCCGACTCTCGCTATGGAGGCAAAAGCATGTATTTACTTACAAAGAACATTTCTGATTTAAGGAAATGAGCTTCAAAATTAATAGATGTTATGGGTGAAATCCCAGTTGCACTGAAGTCATGGAGAATTGTATCCTTGACGTCACTAGGGTTAGGGTCACTGCATAAATATAACCAATCTGAGAATAATGAGAGCACAGGGTTTCCGCATGCTCCAAATTGTGGTGGTGGTTTTTGAGATGGTTCCTTCGTTGTTGGCCTTATTTGGTAACTTTATGTGTGTTGCTTAGTCCTTCACTTTTTCTTTTGGGGATTAGGAAGAATTTATGCCTGAACTATTGATCTTTATATCTCTTCACCCTGATGACTGTATATTACAGTGCCTCTGTACATTTTAGTCAGTCTCTGATTTTCAAGTGTTCTTGGTATGATTCTAAGCCACTTATAGTAGGGTTCACTAACAAAAACAAAATATGTAAACAATCATTTTTATGTAACAAATACCAAAATCAATGGCTTAAAACATCATTAGGATTTAACTGAAACCAAATAAACTCAACATGAAGACAAATATTTTTTCAGCTGTCTTGGTGATAAGCCCAATACTTACACTTGGGCTTGGTCTACACTACATGGGAAGATCAAAGTATAATATGCAACTCCAACTATGTCGTTTACATAGCTCAAATTGACACATCTTAAATCCCTGTACACACAGCGGGAGGCTGACAGGAGCAAACACTCTCTTTGGCTTCTCTTACTCCTCACAAGTAACTAGGAATACCACTGCCAATGGGGGTACCTTTTGAGATCAGCGCTCTGCTCTCTCCCGCCCCCCCTCCACCCATTGGCTTGCAGTCATGGACACCCAAGACCACCCCAAGGTCCAGGAAGCACAGCCAGGTGCCCTCCAGAAGAGCCCCCACCCTAAACAGAGGCCAGGGCCAGCAACCACAGCCTGCCCACTCTGGAGGAGAGGCCCCACACTGGAGGAGAGGCCAGGAATGCAGCCCATCCCGGGGAGAATGCCCAGTCCTACATCAAGAACAGCTGCAGACTGGAGGGAGGCCACTCCCAGAACCCCAGAACCCTGCCCCCCTGGACCAGCTGCAGGGTGGGTGGAAACACTGGTGGCTGCAGCCTGGATAGGTTGGGGGATGGGAGGTATTGCTGGAGGCCAGGACCAGCACCTCTGCTCCTGGGGCAGAGCAGAACCTGCTGCTGGCTCCTCCACTCCCAAACAAGCTGGAGAGCAAACCTCCTAGCCCTCACAGTTCTGCCCCCCTGGGAGAAGCCACCAGCTGGGGACTGCTACTCCTCCCCACTCCTGGGAGAAGCCACTGCCAGAGTTACAATACCCGCACTGTCACAGGTGGCCCCAGTAAGCTCCCCACCTCCCCCGGCATCCCAGTCACCTGCCTTGAGCCCCCTGCCCTGGCTCCTGCACCCCCACCCTCTGCCCTGGGAGCCCCCTACTGTCCTCACGCCTGTCCTGATCACCCACCTCCTGTCAGCATTCCAGCACCCTCCACTCCCTGCCATGACCTCCTCAACCCCCTGCTCTCATTCCTGCATCCCATCCAGTTTTTATTCTAACAAAAGCCAAACTGCAAATATTGTCTACCAACAAGCTCTATCTTATGAATACAAATTTCTCCCCCCACCCATTTTTGAAAAAATACAATCGTTTAAATAACGCATGGACGTTTTCCTTTTATTTTCCAAACAAACCCCAAAGCCCATTACTTTACTTAAAGACCTGAGCAATGCCGGGTACATCTCCTAGTTATAATATAAACTCTGACAGTTTGAAAAAGGGGGGAGGGATACCTCACTGGCTTGAGCACTGGCCTGCTAAACCCGGGGTTATGAACTCAATCCTTGAGGGGACCATTTAGTGATCTAGGGCAAGCCTGTCAGGGATGGTACTTGGTCTTGCCATGAGGGCAGGGGACTGGGCTCAATGAGCTCTCAAGGTCTTTTTCAATTCTGAGATAGGGATAGCTCCATATATTTATATTCACTCTTTCAGAATTATTCTAACTTTTAAAGGACAGTTCTCAACAGCTAACCAGAAATGCTCAAAGAGGGCAAGTGTCATCAGAATAATACACCATCTGACTTGCAATAACACCTAGTTTGTGTGATTGCAGTCACTGTTGCCAAAATACCAGTCATAAGAATAGAATTTGCTACATTCCAAGGCAGTGTATGTTATTTGGCTTTCACAATGGTGCTCATTTTTATAGAGACTTTGGACCAAATTCTGATCTTAACCATAGTAACGCATGATTAACCCAGCTAAGTGCAATTTACGCCAATGTAACTCAGATTATAATTTGGATCTTTTTTCTCTATTGTTTTTTTCTCCCTGTAGTAACTTTAGAACAATTTAAAAATAAATAAGATTGCTCAAGAACCAGATGTTCCATCCTACCAGTTCTACTTCAAAGATTGTTTGAAGTAAAGTTAACATTTTGTTGTAATATCAGTTTATCAAAAAATAAACTCTATAGACTATTAAATATTTCCCATCAGCAACAAACCAAATTAGGAATGGAAATGGTAACCGGTTAACTGGCACCCAGCCAGCCTGAGCAGTGCAGCTTGGCTGATGCAGTCCCCCGCCCATAAAAGGGTGGAGAGGGTCCTGGTATGCCCCGGTCAGCTGGCCCCACCATGCCACACCACAGGGGCTGCTCCATTTGGGCCCACTGCACTGTGGGTAGGGGACTCTCCAGCCCGGTCAGGCAGGAGCAGCCACCCATCTGCAGTGCTCTGCAGCGAACCAGTTAGCCAGTTAAACTTATAGTTTAATCGGGTAACATTTTAAATGAGATATTGCATCCCTAAACAAAATGAATACTTATCTGCTTTCTGCTTTTCTTGGCAAACATTCTGCTATAAGTATTGTTGCCCCATAGGCTGAGCAGAAAAGTTGAAATTCAGGTTATTTTGAGATGGTTCCATTTGGATGAGAGAATGATTCTGTGTTGGGATAATCTTTGGTACAATCTGTATATACACAAAAGGTACATTTTCCAAAAGCATCTCAGTAATTGAGGCTCTTAAGTGCGACTTTCAAAAGTGACTTAGGCAAGTGAATTATGCATTTTGGAGTAGAGTAAGTGAACATTTTAGGATGCAGTTTCTGTCAATCCAAACTGTTCACAAATGTGACCCAATAAGTTTTATCTGGGAACAAATGTTCAGGCCAGTTTCACAAAACGTATGTATGCATACCAGCAACGTGAGCAGAAAAGTTGAAATTCAGGTTATTTTGAGATGGTTCCATTTGGATGAGAGAATGATTCTGAGTCGGGATGACAGGCATACCCTTACCAACTTTAGTCTATATAATAGGGCACCTGCATAGGATGTGATTTGAATGCTCAAGCAGGAACAGGGACTTGAATTCAACTCACCTATTGCTTACCTGAGCTCTTAACCACCAAGCTAAAGTCTATTCTAGAAAAATGTGCCCTCAATCTCTCCTGTAGAAGCAGTTTCACTGTGTATAAATACTTAAATATTCATTGGGTTAAAGAGAAAATGAAAAGGACTCCTATGATCATTTGGTGCTGTCTACTAAATTTCAAAATAAAGCGCTATTCCAAAATGTCCCTTACTCCTCGTAGAATGAGATTTACATGTACGTCAGAATAGTGAGCCCTAAATAACGGGCTTGCTGTGAAGACATGGGATAGCCATTTCTGGATACTCCAGTATCCCGAAATAACATTGCAGTGTAGGCATACCTCTTGATTCTAAGGCCGAGGAGACAACTGTGATTGTCCAGTCTGACTTCCTGAATGACACAGGACATTTCTCCAGGAGAATTCCGAAAGCATATCTTTTAGAAAAATTGTCAGTGGAAAATCCATCATGACCCTTGATAAATTATTAAAGTAGTTAATTACTTTCACCCATGCCTTCTATAGCCTGCTGGCTAAGGCTCTTGCCTGGGAAATAGGAAATGTGGATTCAGATTCTACCTTGGACTGAGGCAGAAAAAAGACTTTACTTCATACCTCATCTAAACAGAACACCTCACAGTGTCCTGAATTACACTTTTCTGTTTGGCCTAAGACACTTTTTTGAAAATTTTAATTAGGCTTCTAAAAGCTTGTCTACCTGGGGAACTTTACTGGAAAAAGTACAAATAGCCAATAGTTATACCTAAGACTTGGGAGATATATTCACCACTATTATGTGATTATGTTTGTACAAAGTATGCCTAGTGAGATCGTTTTAAAAATCATGATGTGTTGAACTTTACTATCCTGTATATCCATTGTATATGAAATTATGAAGTTTCTTAAATGTCATTCATCTGAAGAAGTGGGTTGTGCCCACGAAAGCTCATGATACCATCTACATGTTTTGTTAGTCTCTAAGGGTACGTCTAGACTACATGGCTCTGTCGACGGAGCCATGTAAAATAGTTTACTCAGCATAGTCAAAGAAGCGTGGATTTAAATAATCCCCACTTCATTAAAATAAAAATGGCCATTGCGCTGTGCCAATGATCAGCTGATCTGACACAGCGCGGCAATCCTAGATGCAGTGCAGTCGACAAGGGAAGCCTTTGTCAACCGCTCCGGTATGCCTCGTGAAACTTTCGCTTATTAGTTTTAAACCTGCTGTCCATTAATTTCATTTGGTGTCCTCTAGTCCGTCTATTATGGGAACTAATGAAGAACTTTTCTTTATTCACCTTCTCTGCACCACTCGTGATTTCCCCCCTCAGTCTCCTCTTTTCTAAGCTGAAAAGTCCCAGTCTCTTTAGCCTCTCTTCATATGGGACCTGTTCCAAACCCCTAATCATTTTAGTTGCCCTTTTCTGAACCCTTTCCAAGGCCAAAATATCTTTTTTGAGGTGAGGAGACCACATCTGTACACAGTACTGAAGATATGGCGTACCATAGTTT